TACTCTGCTTGTTTCCAAATCCTTACACACACTCGAACCTAAAATAATCATTCATAAAATTTGAAAAGGTTGAAGTGAATCACAAGGGTGTTCCCAGTGGGCTGTTTTTAATCATTAATCTGGCGTCATAAAAGCATTCTGAGCCGAGGTGAAATTACAGACTCAGCCGAACGCACAAGCTCTCTTCAGCTCTTCTTCATGAGTGTTTGAGTGTGCGGATAAACTAGAGTAGAGCGCCATCTGCTGTTAAAATATAAGCTCAGAATCACGATGCATTCGCAAGATCTCATTCTGCATCGATTTATCGTCGCAGCCCTAGGTACCACACACACACACACACACACACAGCGGATGCTTCGCGTTACACTCAAGCGGCGGTCTAAAACTGTTTATTTAATCACCAAACCGGAAAAAGTTTACTTCAAGAATGAGCAAAGCAGCATAGATGAGTTTGAAGTTTGGCGTTTAAATTAACAGATCAAACGGAAAGAGAAAGTGCGATCTATATTACAGCTCTCTATATCAAGCATACAGACTTTAACATTTTGCTGAATAATGCACAATACACAATTTTACAGCCTAGGGTGAAGTCATCACGTACATTAAACAATGATTTGGGACGAATATAATGTAATTTTAATGTAAAACTATGTGAATGGCGCTCTGTGGCGCGGCAGGAATTTCTGTCGGCTGCGTTTAAATCTGCGTCTGAAGCTTCCTGCTCTGTGCAGCGCAGTGTCACGTGTCAAAACAAACAGCACGAGGTGTCAGTGATTTCCGCCTCTAGAGGCCGCTCTCGCTCTGTATAATGACAGCAGACACTTCTCAGCCGCTCCAGCAACAGACGCAACCTGGAGAACTATCGGGAGAGATTTTTGCCGATAGTTCCGTCAATCAACTATTGGTGCTGATTGATCGGCAAAACCGATACATCGGTCGACCTTTAATATTAAATACAGTATCAGTGTGAAATAGTTTTTCCTGTCAGTTGTGATCCACTAAGGAAATATTCACTGGTTTGAGGGCCCAGATGACCCCTGATGTTGACGTCAGAGTTTACGCTCCATATTTGAGAAACATTTGGCTAATAATCAAAATTACTGTTTACATCTGCTCTAAAACAAGAAGCGCCACCTAGTGACCGGCTGTGACTGTGTCAGTCGCTGGAGACGTCAGTGGATATTTCCTTCCCTTCTTTCTGCTTTCAGCTCTGTCTTGTGTGTGTTTGCCAGCGGCGTTCGGTGGTCTTTTCCCTGCGCTAACCTCTTCCTGTCTTCACTCTTTCCCCTTCTCACGGCTTGTGGCTTGTTTAGCTGTTAAATCGATTAAGAAGCAGCACTTAGTGGAGGTGCGATCGATGGCCAACCCGCCGGCGGCAGTCAAGCTGGCTCTGGAGTCCATCTGTCTGCTGCTGGGCGAGAGCACCACCGACTGGAAGCAGATTCGCTCCATCATAATGCGCGAGAACTTCATCCCCACTATTGTGAACTTTTCTGCTGATGAGATCAGGTGACTGACTGCGGGGTGCGGAGCGGCGGCGTAGCGTGTAAAGAGGACGAGCGTGGTCCTCGTCTCTCTGTGAGACACAAACTTAAAATCAAATTAACTGCTGGCCCAGAATGATGGGCTGGAGCTCTGATTGGCTCGTCACGTGATGCACGGTTCCTCTTTCCAGCTCCGCGGCCGCTCCGCTCCCCCGCGTGAACCCATGTGTCCTGATGGTCCTAAACCACACACCTCCATTCCCTCTCTAGCGGTCAGCTCGATTAAGAAGCAGCATCTGGTTGAGGTTCGCGCTATGGCCAACCCTCCGGCAGCCGTTAAACTGGCTCTAGAGTCGATCTGCCTCCTGCTGGGGGAGGAGACTAGTGACTGGAAAAAGATCAGACAAGTTATTATCAGAGACAATTTCATCTCCAGCATAGTCAACTTTGTCTCTGAGGACACGAGGTATAATCATCTCTTTCATACTTCTTCCTCTCAGGTATGAGACGGACTCTGTGTTGTTCAGACGCCACCGCAGGGATTCCCAAACCAGGGTTCACGAGTCGATGAAAACATAATTAATCGTAAATGTAATGTTAGAATAAACAATCAAAATTTAACTCTAAAAATAGTTTAAATATTCTGTTTATCTAAATGTCATGTGACCATTAACTGACTAAGAACGTGAATTTCTTGAGTTATTGAAATTAGGGCTGTTTTTAATCTAATTAATTACATGATGTGGCATATAATTCATCTCATCGCAAATTAATCGCACGTCAGTTCGTGCTGAGAGAGATTACTTGTTTTAAATGTGAAAAGCATTGAATAAACATTACAAAAAAGTATCTTTAGTACTGATTCATGAAATGAATACTATAAATATGAAACCAAAAATGCCAAGTAATTGTCTTAATGAGTCATTCATTCAACTGATTCCTTCAAACAGCTGATTCATTCAGGAGTGAATCAAGTGACTGTCTTTATGAACAAGTCACTGAGTCTTTGACTCACTTGATTGGTTCAAAACCTCGCATTCATTCACTAAGGAAAAACACCGCTGTGTGTTGATTGAAGACACTTAACAGTTCTGCTGTTGTGAACTTTTCATTTGCAAATTGAGCAAAAACAGACAATAGTGGCAGTATCTCAAATTTAGCGGAATATTAACAACTTGTAAAAAAATCAATCAATTGCACCTAATAAACATGTTAAATCAACAGCCCAGATTTAAATATTAACTTCAAGTCTCAAGGGGACTTCAAGAAAATCTTGTAGCTCAAAGGGGGTTTGGCTGACAGAGATTTAGTGAATCCCCGAGATCGTGTGTGAAGGTGAAGTGTGTAGATGTTAAGTTCAGTTCATCCTCATTCTGTGTCATGATGAAATCACAGTCGGCTTCATTCTAACACACTGTTCCTGCGTCCCAGTGACTCCATCCGTGAGAAGATGAAGAAGAACTACATGTCCAACCCCAGCTACAACTACGAGCAGGTGAACCGGGCGTCTCTGGCCTGTGGGCCGATGGTCAAGTGGGCCATCGCTCAGGTACGACACTGACCGCTGAAGCTCTGCGCGAGCGCGGCGACTCGCTGCTGATCTCTGGCTCTGTGTTCAGCTGAATTACGCAGACATGCTGAAGCGGGTCGAGCCGCTGAGGAACGAGCTGCAGAAGCTGGAGGATGACGCTAAAGACAACAAGACGAAGGCCGAGGAGGTGGAGCAGATGATCCGGGATCTGGAGAACAGCATCGCACGCTATAAGGAGGAGTACGCCGTGCTCATCTCTGAAGCGCAGGCCATCAAAGCTGATCTGGCTGCTGTGGAGGCGAAGGTACGAACACAAACACTAATGAGATTAGCACATTTCAATATTGCTGCTGCTTAGAGGAAGTGGTTTATTCTGTTGTGGCTATTGAAAAGATTTTTAATCAAGTTAATCCAAATGTAGTTTCATTAAAAATGGATCTTATTTAGTGGTACTCTGTCTTTTTAATAACTTAAATCTGATTTTAGACATGAAAATAGCCAAAGAAGCTGGCATGGTGTTCAAAAATTAAGCCAACAAACGATTCTTTTAATTTCTTCCTCATTTGAAAGTCACTTTTGGATAAACACATCTTTTAAATCAACAAACGTAAATGCAGAACAGGAGAGACCATTAAATGCTCCTGCTTTAAGTTCAGTTTGTAATCCTAATTGAGCAGCTTGTTTACAGCATCAAAATTCACATTTGAGCTTTGACTGTGATTTCTGAAGAACAGAAGACGAGAACCTCTTGAAGTATGTTCACCACAGAGCTTGTTTTGCTGGGAACCGCTGTTCACAAAGCCATTAAAAATTAGTCTTCTGGCTAGTTGTTTGTTAAGCTTGACTAGTCTTCTAATCTCTGCAGGTGAACCGCAGCACAGCCCTGCTGAAGAGTTTATCTGCTGAGAGAGAGCGATGGGAAAAGACCAGCGAGACCTTCAAGAACCAGATGTCCACCATCGCTGGAGACTGTCTGCTCTCCGCCGCCTTCATCGCTTACGCTGGTTACTTTGACCAGCAGATGAGACAGAACCTCTTCACCACCTGGTCCCATCACCTCCAGCAGGCCAACATTCAGGTACAGAGAATGTGATGCTGGTGCACTGAGCGCTTCAGATCCCTGCTGTACGACTGAAACCTGCGCTTTCTCCCGTCCAGTTCCGCACGGACATCGCCAGGACAGAGTATCTGTCCAATGCAGACGAGAGGCTGCGCTGGCAGGCTAACTCACTGCCTGCTGACGACCTGTGCACCGAGAACGCCATCATGCTGAAGCGCTTCAACCGGTGAGAGCCGAGCCGAGACGGGACGGGTGGATTACTGAAGGACTCTTGCTAGGGCTGTCAAAATGACTGAAAAGCTACATTAGAATTCTGCACTTAAATATTATCAATATTCAAATTGCATTCGAATTTAAAAGGCATGATTTCAGTTAGGGGGGGAAAACGACTTTGGCTTCTCTCCAAGAGGTTGCATCGAGCAAAATATTACTAATGCATGTTTATTAAAGCAATAAAATAACATGGCTATCTGTGAAAAGTGCATAATGTTTATAAACCAAAAATAAGTTGCTTTAACAATTATAAACAAAACAGCATCATGTATGCATAGTTTAATACAAAGGAACGAAAACCAATCACAAAGAGCACTTTTTCATTTAAAAACATGATGCAGTGGGATGGGGAAAAAAACACCATGAAGTCTCGATTCCCAAGAGTTAGAGACTTGATTCACGTCTCGAGGTCATTTGTCGCTCCTGCTCTCTACTCTCTCACTCTACTGTCCTATCTAAGTAAAAAAAGGCATAAAAATAACTTTACAAAAGCATTTAAAAAGCAACAACTCTCACATCATTGCATTGTGTGCACCCCTGATACTGCTGCCTTGATGCACACCTAAAATTCAAATGCAACTTTTTTGCATTCTAATGTGGATTTTTATTTTAAATTTGACGAATATTTGAAATCTGAATTATTATTTGACAGCCCTAACTCTTGCTGATTTCTCACACGCGTGTGTCGTGTTCTGCAGGTATCCGCTCATCATCGACCCATCAGGTCAGGCCACGGAGTTCATCTTGAACGAATATAAAGACAAAAAGATCACCCGCACCAGCTTTTTGGACGATGCCTTCAGGAAGAATTTGGAGAGCGCTCTGAGATTCGGCAACCCTCTGCTGGTGCAGGTACGAGGCCTCATTATTACTGTAGAAACGTCCAGCTCCGTCTTCATCTGTCAGGGTCTGGGTGTTTGCTCATTAATGCCTGTGTGTCGCTGATTCTCTGTCAGGACGTGGAGAGCTACGACCCCATCCTGAACCCGGTGCTCAACCGAGAGGTGCGCAGGACCGGCGGCCGAGTGCTCATCACGCTCGGAGATCAGGACATCGATCTGTCTCCTTCCTTCGTCATCTTCCTCTCCACACGAGACCCCACGGTAATGCTCTCGTGTGCCTCACACTGTCTGAGAGAGATCAGACCAAGCAGGCCTGCAGGATAATGACAGAAATCATAACAGCTGGTTATGTCCCTTTATGGTGTTATTCTCAGTAGAATTAGGGCTGGGCGATAAAATGATAACGATATAATTTTTCTTGATAAAACCATAACAAGAGTTCGATAAATGTTCGATATAATGTTTATGCTCAGATCTACAAATCTCTATCATTTACCATGGATTTACTGTAGTAACACTTAACTGCACCATGGTATTGTTTCAGAAATATGGGATATTCATATCGAATTTTATTATATTATTAATATGTATTAAAGGAGTAATGGATTATTGATTAAGCTATAGCGTTTGTGCATTTATACCAAATGTATTTAAACTACTCTTTTTCATAAAAATACCTAGAAACCATATAGTTGCGTTTTTACCATGGTATTGTGGTTTTAACTGTTAATCATAATCTAAATGAGTGCTACTATGGAAGACCAATGGTTAATTTTAATAAAACTCAAACAGTCAGAATAATTAAATTTCACCATATAAAACCAACACAAACCTGATTCATGATTTGAAATATCACTCGTTAGAACATGCAGAAGTGTAAAGAATTTAAGAACGTGAAGTTGTTTGTTGAAGTAATTTAACTGAAAATTGAGTGTTTACTATTGTCCTTTTGCATTATTACACACTATTTTCCTATTTGTGTCCCTGGAGCACAAAAGCAGTGTTAAGTCGCTGGGGTATATTTGTAGCAATAGCCAACAATACATTGTATGGGTCAAAATTATAGATTTATCTTTTATGCCAAAAATCATTAGGATATTAAGTAAAGATCGTGTTCCATGAAGATATTTTGTAAATGTCCTACCGTAAATATATCAAAACTTAATGTTTGATTAGTAATATGCATTGCTAAGAACTTCATTTGAACAACTTTAAAGATGATTTTCTCAATATTTAGATTTGTTTGCACCCTCAGATTCCAGATTTACAAATAGTTGTATCTCGACCAAATATTGTCCTATCATAACAAACCATACATCAATGGAAAGCTGATTTATTCAGCTTTCAGATGATGCATAAATCTCAATTTCACAAAATTGACCCTTATGAGTGGTTTTGTGGTCCAGGGTCACATTTAATACTGTAAAGCTGCTTTGACACAATCTATAGTTAAAAGCGCTATATAAATAAAGGTGACTTGACTTGTCATGTTTTGACCAGAAAGAGTAGTTTAAAACCACAATTAACGGTCTAGTTTCAACAACTTTAACTTAGGAGCAAAAATCTGCCTTTAAAGTTGAAAGAAATAAAGATTGTGATGCGTCTTTGCAGGTGGAGTTCCCTCCTGACCTTTGTTCGCGTGTGACCTTCGTGAACTTCACGGTGACCCGCAGCAGCCTGCAGAGCCAGTGTCTCAACGAGGTCCTGAAGGCCGAGCGTCCGGACGTGGACGAGAAGCGATCGGACCTGCTGAAGCTGCAGGGTGAGCGACGGAGAGCGTCACAGGAAGTGCTGTTGGCTCATTAATAGTGCTGGTGTGTAAACGTGGTTCTGTTGAATCCGTGCAGGTGAGTTCCAGCTGCGTCTGCGTCAGCTGGAGAAATCACTGCTGCAGGCCCTGAACGAGGTCAAGGGTCGCATCCTGGACGATGACACCATCATCACCACCCTGGAGAACCTGAAGAAGGAGGCGGCGGAGGTGACCAGGAAAGTGGAGGAAACGGACATCATCATGCAGGAAGTGGAGACGGTGTCTCAGCAGTATCTGTCTCTGTCCTCGGCCTGCAGCAGCATCTACTTCACCATGGAGGCTCTGAACCAGGTCACACGTGTGTGTGTGTGTCTCTGTGTGCGTCTCTCTGTGTGTGTCTCCGTCTCTGTGTGCGTCTCTCTGTGTGTGTGTGTGTGTGTGCGTCTCACTGTGTGTGTCTCTCTGTGTGTGTGTGTGTGTGTGTG